GATTTTGACGATTTTTCTAATTAGTCTAGATCTTATGATCGATTATTTTCATTCACTGCATCGATAATGGAATCGACTTTGTTTATGTAAACTGAATTTTCACTGTTATATACGTGTATAGAAATTCTTACTCATAGATAATTCATTTTCATTGAAACTTTTTATTCAAAGCATAAGTATTTATATTATTCTACAGGAATAAAACATCGAATAGAAATAAAAATTAGTGTTACGGTATGTAGTTTTTCATGGTTAAATAGAAACCTAAGCAAACGAAAGAAATCATTCATTTGTATAAATTAATGGTGTGAAATGAATTATTCTCTGAAATCTCTTCGTACATGATTGTTTTTGTTTCATAAACTAAATATCTCAAAAGGAGAATGAAAGATGAGTAACAAATAAAAGACTAGGACTGAAATGATAATTATAGAGACAACATCTCATAGACTGAAGACATGATTATAAATTTTACATCATTCTACGTAGGATTGAAGAAGTTTATCTGAAATTAAATCTACTAAAGAAAAATTACTCAAATTAAAAACGTTCGACTCCATCATTATTTTGACATTTTCAAATCTTGTCAATATCTTAGTAGCGACATCAATACCAAAACTAAATCTTTCTTCTAGTTTGAAATTCTTACGACATTTAAACTTTTATGATTTTATCAAATATTATGATTGATGATATGCAATATGTTGACAACATTGCATGTAAAATATCCATCAAGATTCTAGTTTATTTTTCTTTAAACTATGTTCACTATTCGTAAATCAATGTATGATATTAGTAATTTTAGTTCCTATGTTCAATAAAATATTAATTGTAATGAATGACAATTATGATTGAATATTTGAATGAATCGAGAGAATCTGGCATAACTAAAGTTAGTTATCCAAATTTTTAGAGATAAATTTATAAATTGATTTCAGAATTAGCATTAAAGAATCATTTGATTTTTATGATATTATTCTGAAACATGTTTCAAAAGTTATTGGATAATGATATTCAAAGAGGTTGTGTTATTGTACTTATTGTTTTGATTCAATAGTAACTTTTAGTTAGAAGAAAATTATTTAATCAAGCTTGTTGACAATATGAATTATGTATAAACGAAATAAAAAGTGACTTTCTGATAGTGAGTTTATATGAATAAGTAAGTTTTTTTTAAATATAAACAAAATTAAAAAATATTTTGTATTTTTTATGATTAGTTTTCGAATAATGCTATTTTAAAATGAAGTTTACCAATCAGTCAGATATATACTCGAGAATTAACAAATTCATAGATGAATCTGGTACTATTGAAGAGAGCATAAGATAATCATTTTCTAGATTGATCGCTCTGATAAAGACTTTTACAAAGTCTCTTTGTTTTTGACACTTTTTACCAGTATCTGAAAGGATTATTTGAGTGAATCTAATACAATTTATAGAATCCTCATTTAAGAACAATTGAAAAATGATTGTGAATGTTCCAAGATCTGGTTTCCTTCGTGTAAAAATCTTACACAATTTATAACGATACCTTTTCGAAAGACTATAAACTTTTTAGAATATTTCGTGTTTAAAACCTTGTAGTTCACCACTATCGTTCCTTCTTTAAACTCTCTAGTAATTAACCAACATTCATTTGTTGTCCTGATGTCCTCCTCCGATGACCCCTCCTCTCATGAAACGTGTAGAGACAGTCAGAATACCGTACTCTACACACTGACGACGCAAGTTACTTATTACAAACTTATCAAGAGATAAATAATCAACATTGATCGTATACATGTTGCGATGACGAAAATATGCGAGCCGGTGAAGCACTAGGTTGCCAGAACAACACTTCATAATAATAAACGTGAAAACCTAAAGCGTTGAAATGACTGTCAGCGCTGTGTTGATTTTTGTTCACTAGGTTTTATGTAGGAAGACACTTGTCGCGATCTAGTATGTGTTAATGTGATGACATGCTTCACGATAACAATGCTATTAAGTTGGATGCTATATGGTCGTTAGTTTCTTTCAGAAAACATAGTTGGTGGGTGAGATTGATCGCACAAAAATAAGATGCAATTATAGGTTTCAACGTCAATTTTAATGATTGACCATTCTTATATATATTCCCCTGGTCAAAATAAACTAAACATCTTATTTTGATGTTTTTCTCCTTTTTACAATTGTCGTTAGAGGTGTAAGCCATCCAGCTACGCCGCCACCGCTGTGAAAAAGTTAATTCAGCCGTTGCGCCGCCGCCACTGACATCGATACATATGCGATCGGTCATTTTCTCGTCTTTTAGGAGCAAAAACGTTTTCTTTTCTTTTTTGGTTGTCAAAGCCGCAGTCGCTATGGAAAAAAAATTTACAATTAAAGATGCCGCCGCCGGTGTAGAAAAACATAGAATGTAGTAGGCGCCGCCGCCAAGGAAAAAAATTGGACCATTAAAACAGTCGCCGCCGTTTGATCCTTCGGCTTACACCTCTAATTGCCGTTGAGCTAAATTCTTATACTACAGATATATCTTTGATTACTTGACTTTTTCTGAAAATGACAACCTTATAGGATGAGAATCCGTTGAAGAAAACGTAATTATATCTCATCCCAGTGAAAAATATTTCTAAAAATAATGGAAGAGAACGGATTCATAAAAATGTAGAGACTTGTCTTTTGCATGAAGAATGTGTTCTAAAGCTTATCGAACGTTTTCACAAACAAAGAGATAAGTTCTGAGTCTAAAGGAACTCATTCTTTACTGTTCCAAAATAGTACGGAATGCTTTCTTCTCAGTTCAAAAGTCATTCTCTATCTGGATAGAAAGTGTTCTGAACCGCTCCACGAACCAGTAGAACGTGTCTCTGTCCATTCTATTTCGAAGCAGTGAAGATAGGATTCCATCGAAATGAGACCGCTTTTTTTAACATTCTCTTGAGAAATACCTGAGAATGGATTCTTTTGACTGATGAACACTTTCATTTGAATTTAACGTCACTTTTGATTCAAAAATGACAGCTCTGAAGTACGACACTCTGAAACTGGTGCCAAAAATAGTGGAACCTTCAATTAGTCATACTTTACAATTGGCAGTCCTGATTTCAAAAAATGTTCTTTCTTAATAACAGTTTGAGCTACGAAAAATTAGAGCACGCTATTGGATAGAGCTCGTCGAGTTGCACCAGAGTCGATCTTTCAAAAAATTATGTCTGAACTTCCCTTCGAGAACTCTTATAGTGAATCTAAATTCAGGCAATAACGACCAAGAATGCGTTCCAAAAAAAGTTAGTCTTTTTTTTGAGAAAAGCAAACGTTCCCAAAAAACTGGAACAGTTAAGAACGCATTCCAAAAAACATGGAATGTGTTCTTAATGGTTTCATTTTGGAACGCTTTCCACTTTTGTTGGAACGTCTTCTTTTCTTAAAAGAAAGAACTTTTAATTTTATGGAACGCGTTCTTTTCCGTTCTTTGAAACAAATACTTTTCACTGGAATGCACTCATGCAGCAATGCAACGAAAATCTGTTGTTTTCTTGCTGAATTTTGCCCTTTTCCTGTTTCCAATAACAATAGCCTTTGATGAACACATCCGCTTCTTCGCACTTGTTCAAAGCATTTTGTGAAGAGATTTATTCAAAACAGCTGATAGTAATGAGAATCAGATGAGAAAAAGCTACTCTATGCACCGACAGTTGGTGTTACAGGACACAGAAAAAAACCAAAATTCAGCAAGAAAATAACAGATTTTCGCTTCACGGCTACATGAGTACATCATATATAATTACATTTTTCTCCACGTATTCTCATCCTATAAGGCTGTAATTTTCGGGAAAAGTTAAATAATCAAAGATGTATTCGTGTTATAAAAATGAGGCTCAATTACAATTGTAAAGAGGAGAAAAGTATCAAAATAAGGTGTTTAGTTTATTTTGACCAGGGAGATATTCCGTATAAATTATATGTCAGAAAAACTTTATCTTTTTTATTTTTCCTGACGATCCAAGAACCTATAGTTTAGTTTTTTTCATTTATTTCTTATTCGATGCTGATCACTGAGCTCTTGATTTATATTCGAATTCGCATTAGACAACTCTTGTCAGACTCACTGTCATTTGCTTGAGTTAAAGAATGTAATAATAATAACTGATTTTCTTCTGTTCCAAATAAGTTTTAATTACCAATTTGAATTACTTTTGAATATCTGTTACTAATTGAATGTACTAACGTTGGAGTAGAAGTATTAAAATGTGTATGTCAATGTCTTTTATTACGAATTAAGTGGAATACAACAGAAAAAAAAATATTTTTTTTTCGGTTTATACTTTGTTTATCGTAACACTCGTAATCGCCAACAAAGAAGTAAAAGTGGAAAATAAAAGAGATAAGAATAAAAGAGACAGTGCACACAAGGAAAGGAATGACAAAAATGCCAGTAGAGGCAAGAATAAATGCCATAATGAAGAACAACAAGGAAAGAAAGTCACACATAACAGAGAAGAACTACAGAGAAAACTAAAAATACAGAAGAGCACACTTAAAAAATGTTTTCCTAGTGCATCAGGGTTGACGCATCTATGCTGATGAACGAAGTTTGTCGGAAATCGAAGAAAAAAGAAATGAAGAACGAAAGAAATAGATTTTGGCATATATGTTTATTTAAAAAAAACGGACCTTATTAACAGAATGAGTGGATTTCTTAATTTCTGTATATGTTTATATTTCGACCTGACTCCTTTTCTATAACATCTGAAAAATTATAATTCTGAGACTGATCTTCTCTTCTGGATGAACATCTATTTTTGAAGGATTTACATTAATCAGTTGTCATAAGCTATCAACACTTGAATTAATCCTTTTTTCCTCTTTCGCCGAGAAAAACATTCGTAAGTTAACACAGAGGTATTATCGTGTTTCTCTTTCATGATTTAAATATATAAAACAAATGCATATTTTATTTTTCTCTTCATGCGCATAAGTTTTGAATTTTTCCCCAGATATAATAAGAGATAAGGATGATGATTATTTGCTGCCTGACAAGAGTCCGCTGCCAGTAAGTAAAATATGTAAATCTAATTCACTGGGAGAAATACCATCAGAAATAACAACATGTAACCATTGTTCTATAAATAAAAACACGTTTTATTATAATCATAGATCATTACAAACACTTATTATCAAAGCTGATGCTATAAAATTTACATCTAAATTACGTGTGTACAGTTTAAATAATAATTCAATGGATAGTTCAACTGAATATGGCATACCTGAATCTAATAAATATCGTCAACATTTAACAAAAGGTGAATATTTACCAACTGGTTCAAATCGTAAAATAAAATTATTACTTCAACGTTCACTTCGTTATTCATATCGAAAACGATGTTGTAAATGTTGTCCAACAATACTTTGTGAACTATTATTTCCTATTATCTTAATAGCATTATTAGCTTTAATCCATTATAGAGCAAATGCATTTTTAAAAGAAATGAATGTAAATTCTGAGCCAGTACTAAGAGGTTTGAATCATCGTACATGTTCACAAAATATAAATTCTACAACAACTTTATCAAATGATTTATTAAAGAAATGTTTTAAATTTCCATCAAGTTATTCAGGACGTGGATGGATTTCATTTGAATCCGAAACAATTTTCAATAAAATAAATCTTGTTTTGTCATCCTATGGCAAATGAAACTCAAATACTTGTTAAACGTGCTAAAAAACGTCTAAAAAAAATGAATTGTAATAACATGAAAGTTTGGTAAGTTTATTTAACACATCAATCATATCGAAACGGCAAAAGTTTTAATAAAGGAGTCAAAATATAAATGATGGAAATGACAGTTATTTATTACAAAATCAAGAAGGAGATACAGTTATTATTGATTTTGGTTCAACAATTAATCTTAAAAATAAACGAAATATTGATTGTGAGTATTGAAATATCGAAAAAGAATGTGTCAGAACAATCGCTTGTTATTCTTCATTTTTAGACAATATAATAGTTCGAAAGCTGTATACTATTCCAAAAAATGATCTGATTGATATATCGTTTATATCATTTTTACATCCAAGTAAATAATAATTCTTTTAATTTGATCATATAGAAATTCAATTATTTAGCACTCATTGCTGATCGATCGGATATAATGGATAATAATAAAGATCAAGGTTCAAAATTACCTGCATTTACAGATGTAAAAATATTTATTGATTCATTATTTATTGAATATCAAACGAATACAAATATTGAATACGAACTTGAAAGAACTCCTATGATTTGTACACCATTTCGTAGAAATTTAATTTTTGGTAGGATGAAATTAATATAAACTTTATTAGATTTTTTATATCTAGAAAATGGATTATCAAGTTTAATAGAAACTCTTATTGAGTTTATCTTTCTTATTCCGTAAGAAAAAGAATTTGGAATCAACAGATTAATTTATTCTTTTATTAATTAGATATTTTATTCTTCTAACCAGTTTAATTCAAGAGAAGAATGCTAAAGTTAAAGAAATTCTTAAAGTATTTGGAATTGAACCAATTTTAAATAATTTTGCTCATGCAATTCGGTAAAAGAAAATAATCTTTTTCTAAATACCTACATTCTTTTTTATTTCATAGGACATTAATTATTCTTTGTCTTTTAATCCTACTCTTATGCATTGTATTGAAACGAAAACCAAATGGATATTTTCTCACAGTTAATTTTCATATTCTCTTTCTTGGTTATTTAATATTCAGTTTACAATTAATTTCATTCTGTATAATGATTGCACAATTATTTGATAAAAAGGTTCGTGCAGAATTAANAAATGACAGTTATTTATTACAAAATCAAGAAGAAGATACAGTTATTATTGATTTTGGTTCAACAATTAATCTTAAAAATAAACGAAATATTGATTGTGAGTATTGAAATATCGAAAAAGAATGTGTCAGAACAATCGCTTGTTATTCTTCATTTTTAGACAATATAATGGTTCGACAGCCGTATACTATTCCAAAAAATGATCCGATTGATATGTCGTTTATATCGTTTTTAAATCCGAGTAAATAATAATTCTTTTAATTTGATCATATAGAAATTCAATTATTTAGCACTTATTGCTGATCGATCGGATATAATGGATAATAATAAATATCAAGATTTGAAATTACCTGCATTTACAGATGTAAAAATATTAATTGATTCATTACTTATTGAATATCAAACGAATACAAACATTGAATATGAACTTGAAAGAACTCCTATGATTTGTACATCATTTCGTAGAAATTTAATTTTTGGTAGGATGAAATTAATATAAACTTTATTAGATTTTTTATTTCTAGAAAATAGATTATCAAGTTTAATAATAACTCTCATTGAGTTTATCTTTCTTATTCCGTAAGAAAAAGAATTTGGAATCAACAGATTAATTTATTCTTTTATTAATTAGATATTTTATTCTTCTAACAAGTTTAATTCAAGAGAAGAATGCTAAAGTTAAAGAAATTCTTAAAGTACTTGGAATTGAACCAATTTTAAATAATTTTTCTCATGCAATTCGGTAAAAGAAAATAATCTTTTTCTAAATACCTACATTCTTTTTTATTTCATAGGACATTAATTATTCTTTGTCTTTTAATCCTACTCTTATGCATTGTATTGAAACAAAAACCAAATGAATATTTTCTCACAGTTAATTTTCATATTCTCTTTCTTGGTTATTTAATATTCAGTTTACAATTAATTTCATTCTGTATAATGATTGCACAATTATTTGATAAAAAGGTTCGTGCAGAATTAACTGTTTCTATCATTTATCTTGTATCATCAAAAATTTATTCATATACAATTTTTTGGCCGACATCGATACAATATCTACTGATATTTTTCTGTCCTCATATTGCTGGATATTCACTTTTTCAGGTAAGGAATTGTTTTTTTTTTTTGTATGGAAATATTGAGAAAAACTTTTCTTTTTGTAGCAAGCAGTTTTACATAATTTAGCGGAAAAAGATATATCATTATTTCAATCGATTTATCGTTATGTACCAATTTATTTTCCAACATTGATTATTATGATTTGTAGTTGTATTTTTTACTGGTTATTATCTTGGTATTTCGAAAAAGTATTTCCAAGTAAATATCTAAACAGATTTTTTTCATAGATAGCTATCAGAAGTCCTCATTGAATGACATCGAAGGAAAAAATAAGTCCCATGGGACCAACGATCGTCGCTTGTCTCATATGGCATCGGGCAACTATGAAAATAATTTTCGTTCCATGGGATATCCCATTTATAATATACACTTTAAAACAGTACAACTTATGATGAGCACATACTTACAGTTTAGAAAAATGTTAGTTTCTGACTTGTCTGCTCCACTCAAATAAATGGAGACACTATCTGTATCAATAGATTGTATTGATCTTTAAAAAATAGTATTATGTAATATAAGTTCCTCTCAAAGAATAATTGGATGAGATGAGAAAGGGTAATTCCATTTCAGGAGGAGTCTTCATCGCTATTGTAGAATCTGTCGGTAGGAATGTCAGTGTTCTACTTCCAAGGTAGGGGAATGCATTTCATATAACGTATTCTACGATGTTTTACATACGCTAAGATGTTTATATAGTTTTGATAATCTCTTTATGTGAGGTTATTGTATTTTTCATGTTCTTGGAACAGAGAACATCTCGCTTTTCCCATTTCTATTTTCAAATACAAATACTGCTGTACTCTTATATGAATTGAGGTTGCAAGGATGTTGACTATATATTCATTACTAGGAATATTAGCGTTCTTGTTCATAAGTATTTCATTCCCAGGGAATGGGAAGGCGACAATCTCATTCGTCGTATTGATATTGGACTTATCGAACATTTTTTAGGTGAATATGGTATTTCACTTGATTGGAATTTTCTCTTTAAACGAGATTATTGGCGTTCAGAAAAACTTGATCATCATACACAATCATTACCTAATCGTGATCCATTACTTTCAAGAAAAAATTCAACTGGTACAACTATTCTTCATGTTAATAATCTTGTAAAACAATTTGGCCCGGATAAAATAGCTGTTGATAATGTTTCATTTGATTTATATGAAAATCAAATAACATCATTAGTTGGACCAAATGGTTCGGGAAAAACAACAATATTTAATTGTTTAATTGGTATATATAAACAAACATCAGGAACAATAAAAATACAAAATGATGATGGAAAAAATTTTGATACACGAATAAATATCGAAATGGCAAGAAAATCAATGGGTTATTGTCCACAACATAATCTACTTTTCGATTTATTAACTATAAAAGAACAAATAGAATTTTATGCAATAGCACGAGGATTAGAAAAAAATAAAGAAAAAATAGCAAATGAAATGCTTCATTTAATGGATCTTGAAAATTCTAAAGATCTTTATTGTAATAAATTGTCTGGTGGAATGAAAAGACGTTTATCATTAGCTTGTGCATTTATTGGAGATACAAAAATAATTCTTCTTGATGAAGTAATCTATTTATGTTTTGTTTTGTTTTTATTAAAATAAATCTAAATATATTTAGCCATCAAGTGGACTTGATCCATCAAATCGTCGTTCATTATGGGATTGGTTACGTTCAATGAAACAAGGTAAAACACTTTTATTAACAACACATTTTATGGAAGAAAGTGATGCTTTATCTGATCGAATTATAATTATTGCTAATGGAAAGATTAAAGCCGATGGAACATCAGCTAAATTAAAAGAAAAATATGGATCAGGTAAAACAATTTTCTAGTTTTACCTAAGAATAAATTATTAATTTTAGGTTATAAACTAATTATTAATAAACAGAATAATTCTCATACAAATGATATTAAAAATGCGTTATGTCATTATTTACCAGAATTAAAAATCGAAATAGATATACATGGTGGTGATGTTGTTTTTCGTACAAATCAACAACCAAATCAACAATTTGTACAAGCATTACATCATCTTGAAACAATGAAACGAGAAAATCAAATTAAAGATTATGGAGTACAAAATAGTACAATGGATGATGTTTTTTTTAAAATCACAAAAGATACATGTATTGAGAATGACTCAGAATCCATATCAATGGATACTGATACATTAGGTTTGTAATTAACTTTTATTTATATGTGTAAGATGGAAGGAAGAGGCAAGTAGAAATGGTTCGATTCTCTTAATTTAAGCATTGATATAAAAATAGTCGTTATATAGCAATATTAAAAGTCTGTTGGGGTTGGTCATTTAGTTAATATCGTTAAAGGGAAATTGATTTTTTGGTAATCTTAAAAGAGAACATAAAACATTAGCAGTACATCTCGAATGGCCAGTGAAATGTTTTATTTATTTTTATTTTTGATCTGATTAAATGAAAATTTGCTTAAAAACGCTTGTTTTCGGCGGTCACTATAGAACATAAGATCTCTATTTTGAGTTATCATAAGTTAGCTATAAATCCGAGAAAGTTCCAACAACTATAGCAATAGCAACTCTGATGTCGATCACTAGACTACTTGATTTTCATCCTAGTTACTGTCATATATGATTTATATGGAAGCACAACTGTTGCACTCTAGACAGATGGTCCCACGACATTTACTTTCTTGAGGGTGGGGGTGAGGGTAACGAAGATGAAGAAATCTTAATATAATATCAGCACCTTTGTAATTGCTTTCGGATTACCCGTAGATCTAATTAGAAGCCGTAGCAAAGAAAATGTTACGTGAGTAAGTGTGGTGAATTCATTTTATATATTTGTCCATGAAAGATTACTGTCAATCCTCTATAGAGAAATTCAAATTTCAACAATATAAACAGTTCTTTCAGCGTAACTTTGACATTTTCTATCGTTATTCTTTGAAATGTACTTTTTACTAACCTTTTACCTTACAAAAAAGAAACATCTTTAATTTTACTTTTTCCACTGAATCATTTATTCATCTTGTTCTCAGAGCAACAATGTCATTATGTATTTAATGATCAACATATTTCTACCGGTATTCAGTATCATTTAAGTCAATATCATGGTTTAATAATAAAAACATTACTTGTACGTTATCATCGTTGGACATTAACACTAATTGTTTTATTATTACCAATTTTATACAATCTTTTATCAAATGTAACATCACGTAGTTATATTGAAAGTGGAATATTTAAAATGAATTTAAATTCACTTAATCCACAAACTATTTTATATCATACCGATCCAATGATAGAAAAATATTTTCATGCATCTATTGATGGTGCAATACTTGAACAAAGATCAGGAGATATATCCCAAATGAATCGAGAGATTTTCCGTAAGTTTACTATCATCAAAACGAGTGAATCTTCGTTTGTTTTTTCGTTATTCTAGAAAAACGAATGGATCGCCCATAACATATACAGATATTTATCTTGCTTTCAATATTCCAAAACCAACTAGAAATAAATATAAAATTCAAACATTATCATCAAATTTAATATCCGGTTATGAAGTTATTTCATTGGCATCAAATACATTTTATAAATATGCATTAAATGATACAGATGCATCAATTCAAACGACATTGATCTATAAAAAAATAGGAAATTTTACAATTCAACCATCCATTGAGAATATATTGAATTACTTAAGTGGAATATCATGTATTCTTAAATTCTCACCATTCACATTATCATTTGATATGTATGCAGTATTTAAAAAATTAACAATCACAAGTTTTTATTTGATTTTATTTAGATTAATATTTTACATTCTATTCTTCTATGTAACTGTATTTTTAATCAGCGAACGAAAAGATAGTTTTCTATCCTTGCTTAATATCAGTGGTTTACAGTAAGTTGACAGAATTTCTCTTAATTTTACATTGTAATCATTCTGTACTCTTATACCTCTAATCAAACTATTGAATTTTTCATTTTAGTCCAGCATCATATTGGATATTTACTTATCTTTTTGATATAATTATTTCTATTATATGGTTTTGTTATTTACTTGCTGTTTATTGTATATTTCATCTTGCTTTTAATGGTATACCAAACAAAAAATCTCAAATAGAAAAGACAGTTCTATTTGAATTTGTTAGTCCATAGGATTTACGAGTACAATTTTATCCATTAACAATATTAATTATATTACCAACATTACCATTTACTTATTTATTAACCAAACNCTTCTGTCGAGTCAATAATGTGGTGAAAGAAAAAAAAATTAAGTCTTATGATGTCGTACAATTCTCATTTTCCACCACATGATTTTTATATCAATCAAACCGTCCTACTCCAGAACCAGGACATTCGGTAGATTAGGCCACACCATTGGCATATTCGACAAGCTAATACTCTATTTATAAAGTTATTTTCTCAGTGGCTCTTCTGGAACCGCTATGGGGGGTAAAGGGTTAAGAGATACAAATATCACTTCTTTCACTCTATAACTTTCTATGAATGGCTGCTGACTAAAATTCATTTTTATTTTCAGGGTGGAATGGCAATATGTTTTATATTAACAATTCTTCATTTAATAGGTATTATTGTCCCAGTAATAACAATAATTGCTGCAAATGCATCTGTTCGAATGCTTTTATATTGGTTACTTAATATAATATCTCCAAGTATCAATGCTCAAGTTATAGTTACATATATTTTAGCACAAAAAAGTGCATCTTGTGAGTCAGCTATTATTAATTTTAAAATGTTATCTTTTGAATCAATTGGGGATGATACAATTGGATGGAATTGTTTAATTCTTGTTTTACATATATCATTATTATTATTATTAATTATAATTATTGATACTAGTTTATTAAAATTTTCATTTTCATTTTTATATAAATCAAATTTTGATGAAAATACACTTGATGATGATGTTTTAGCTGAACGTTCTCGAATATTAGATTTACAAACAAATATATTTGTTGATGATGAACATATTGATTATTTAACAGTTAATGATCTTGTAAAATATTATCCAAGACGTAAAATTTTAGCTGTAAATCATTTAACCTTTGGTGCAAAACGTGGTGAAGCATTTGGTTTACTTGGTTATAATGTACAGTATATAAAATACTTTAAAAAAATCTTTCTAATTAATTTAAATAGGGCGCTGGAAAAACTACAACATTTCGTGTTATAGTTGGTGATTTACTATCCATAAAAGCGACAGCTTATATAGATGGACAAAATGTTCGTCGTTGTCGTATAAAGTCAAAACGTCATTTAGGTTATTGTCCACAAGAAAATTGTAGTATGGAGTTTTTAACTGTTCAAGATAGTCTTTATTTATTAGCACGCATACGTGGTGTAAAAATTTCACATATAAAAACGATTGTTGAAACGATGAGTTCATTATTTTTACTTGATCCATTTTTAAATAATTATATTCATCAATTAAGTGGTGATACAAAACGTCGATTACATGCTGCAATGGCATTGATTGGTAAAATAGATAAAAAAAAATGATAAGATGAAATTTTTTGTTTTTTAAGGACCACCACTAGTTGCTATTCTTGATGAACCAACAACGGGTGTTGATCCAAATGTTCGACAACAAATGCAAAAAATATTTTTAAATTCTGTTAAAGCTAAATTAACAATTATTTTAACTAGTCATTCGATGGATGAATGGTAAGAAAAGAAAAACAATCAATAAAACAAAAGCTGTTACTGCGATCCCTGTGGGATTAAAATGTCAAGCACGTTGAACCTGTCTACGCTGTAAACGAGGAAAGTTACCAGTGTATATTTGAGTCGTGACTTACTACCTGTTGTTAATGTTGGTAATGAAAGATGTTAACGATACTATATTACCGTGAGTGTGAGAGAAGCGTGAATGGCGGGCAGCTTGAATTCAGTCGTGTTTCATACTGATCCTGCGGTAGAATTCAATGTCAGAGCTCGAAGCGAACCCAACTTTTTCGTTTCAGTTCAGTTGAGTTTTTTAAAAGTCGCTTCGGATTCCATTTGGTTCGACTCAGTTTTTCCAAATGACAGTTCGAGTTCGAATCCGCTCAAACCAAACCTAGTCGCTTAAGTTTGATTTCAGTTCGACTGGGGCCCACAAAACTAAATGAAGGAAGCTGTTATTTAGCATTCTGGCGATTAATAATCACTTAATTTGAGTACTCTTCAACTGACGACGCGATTAAAAGGAATGATAGCACTTCGTTAAATATATAACATGATTTTCCAAAACTCAGAATTGCTATAGATCCAAATCGAATCCATATCGTCCAGTTCGACTAAACTTTGAACAAGACCATTCCGGTTCGATTCATGTCGTTTTCAGTCTCTGTTCAGTGTCCCGAGTATGTAAATTATAGTCTATCAGTAGGAGAATGCTATACCAAATGTCTGTTACGAAAGGAAGGCGTTACTAAAAAGGTCTGTGGGGGAGGGGCGGAGTGGCAAATCTGTACTTCTATACATTTCAACGATCGTTTTAAATCGTGTTTCATAAAACCAAAATTTTTATTTTAGTGAACGTGTTTGTAATCGTCTTGGTATAATGGTTAAAGGACAATTAGCTTGTTTAGGTACAATTCAACATTTAAAATCTAAATTTGGTCAAGGTTATACAATTGAAATAAAAGTTCGTTCAATATCTGATCATACAAATATTACACCAATTCATAATGTTCAATCATTTTTATTATCACAAAAAACAATATCATGTTGAAATAAAAGAAACAACAAATTCAACTGGTTTATTTCATATATCACAAACTACACCTGCTGAATTATTTCAATTAATTGAAGAAAATAAACAACAATTAAATATTGAAACATATACGATTTCACAAACAACACTTGAGCAAATATTTCTATCATTTGGAAAAGAAATTCATACTACTTAATTCTTTTCAAATAAAATTAATTCATAATCAACACAAGTTTTTGGAATTATATATAGTCTTTTATTAGTTTTTTGTGCTGAATAATTATCTATTGCTGTTTACCAAATAATCGAATGAATATTTGTATGTTGACAAACTTGTTCTTCATAGGCTTGCTTTAATAATAAACCTGCAATATCTAAACCAAGAGCATTTGGACTAACATATATATCACTTAAAATTGCTTGTCGACCGAAATAGGGTTTGTAAGAACAAGACCAACAGAGTGATGCAAAGCCAATTATCTTATCATCCTTTCGTGCTAATAGATACACACTTCCATGTTCAGGATCTTTTAACATATTATGGCAAAGTTTAATGAGATCTTCATTACTTGGTTTAGCTACATGTGGTTCATCGGATGTATCACGATAAGCACACATAAGTAAAATAACGTCGAATATATCTGAATCCATAGGCAGTGGAGCCATTAAGCTTAGGGAGGCTCAATATTTTTAGACATTTTACGGATGTCATTCTAAGTTTATGCGGATCTCCCAAAATGTTATCAATCAGGTGAATTTTTGATAGACATTTTCACAATGAAATCTGAAGGCATTTTCGGTTTTATCTTTACTTTGAGCATGCCCATTCAATAGAGAAAATTGTTCTCTTGAGGTTATAGGTGTGAGTCTTACTGAAGATAATATACCCACACCCTCATTCCTATGAAAAGTTATTCAGAAAATGGCCAGGGCTCCTTTTTTTGGAACGAACATTAGAATTTACTAAAATTTCTTCATTTTTAAATAATTAGCTAGCACAAAAAGATATCGAGATGTAGTTAATGTTATGATAGATATGCCATTTCGTTACATTTTGTTCCCATGATACAGTAGAAAAATCATAACAAAATGATTCATTTTATTATAATTTCAACGAATTTTTCACAGCTCATCTTTAACTAAACAATAATTATGATTTTAATTTTGATTTGATATTTTAAAATCTTTTCATTATTAATAACAAAAAGCAGAGATTCGTTAAGAAAAAACATCAAACGAATATTGTCTTTAATGATTTCAAATAAAGAAAAAAGAAAATATAAATTCGAAGAAAAAAATTAAACATCATTTCACATACAAACTAAGATTAGTACAATTAATATTTAATTTAGATGTATTTGTCATCATTCTCATTAAAAACGAAGGAGTTTATATTAATTGGAAAGAAATTCCTTTTATAAGCAGCCTGAATTTTCTTTTCAACTGATTCAAAAATTTTTTGCTGTATATCTTCTTTTAATTAAATTTTGTTTTCAAATTATGTTTCATTTACACTTATATCTGAACTTTCTCTTATAATTAGACATCTGAAATTATGTCGATATGAATACCGAATATCATAATTCATAGTTGAATTTGTCCATAGCTTTCAAAAGTATTTTTAGGAAAATTATTTCTGTAGTCGAAAAACTATTCAACGAGATGTTGATATTCAGCATGTTAATCGATGGAAAACAACATGTTATACATGTACGAAGAAATCATCAAATCTATTAGACTGAAAAGGAAAAAACAAAAAAACAAATGTCCTGCTAACAAATGAAAGAACTTTTATATGTACATTCAAATCAAGTGTTATAACAAAGAACAAGAATTGCAAAGAAAGAAAAATAAATAGCTATCTATACAATTATGTGCTCCTGCATAATAAAATTTTTCTAATTGATTTCTGAAATCATCAAAAGCAGATAATTCACTTAATTTGTTTATCGAATGTAATAAATCAGAATAAACTTTATTTTTTCTCTTTCAAATTTTTCCACAATGCTGACGACCTCGATAGTTGTTATCACGAGACTGTGATAATTGTTCAATAGCATTCAACTCAGTTCGAACCTTTTTATGAATCATATATATTATATCATTTAATGCACATTTTAAATCAAACATTCGTTCATAATCATAACATGCTGTATATTGTGCATTCGCCATTGATTTGGAATAAACAGATAATAATTCATAATCAGCATATGTAACTATTCCAGCAATTGGTAATTTTTTTGTTATTTCATACATTTCATATTTAAAGGCAAAACCAAAGTTGATTATTTTTAATTTTTTTTCACGATCACCTAACGTCAAATTCTGTGGACGTACATCACGATGAAAAATATCATATTTATATCAAAATGGAATTATATAAGTTGTTTCGATTGAATTAATGTTAATGATTTAATATTTATTAATTCATTTTTAAATATTAATAAATGTGGAAACCTCGGATTTAAATCCGAGTGTTATGTGTACTTCAAAAAGTAAAAAACAATTTTTGTTTAAGTATCTTTGCAATAGGTGACTTAGCCTTCTTGTTCCTTAATGTTTTATATACCATTTTGTAGCCCGTGAAATTCTCTATCGAATGGTATATAATAGCTGAGCTTTTGTTTTATTATGATAGAAAACGCTTTTTTGCGATAACTCAGCAATTTCTNCTTTTAATGGTATACCAAACAAGAAACCTCAAACAGAAAATACAGTTCTATTGGAATTTCTTAGTCCATGGGATTTACGAGTACAATTTTATCCATTAACAATATTAATTATATTACCAACATTACCATTTACTTATTTATTAACCAAACTTTTTAAAAATGATATCAACGTATGTATTGTTATAGAATTGTCAACTAGATCGAATGCGGACAAATATTTTTGATCTCATACATCTCTAGAGAAGATGAATATATTATTCTAACTTACAAGGAAATTGTTTGAAGTGATTTAGAGCTTTTGATCTGACATTTTGTCTATAATATCGACTTTCACGCTATACATGGTATTTACTGTAAAAAAACTGAATGTCGAAGATTCTGGCTGGGATTCTCCTCATATAAAGGTTTCAACGTCTTTAGAATATTCTAAAAGTTTCAGTGCAAACGGATGTTCCCTTCTCGTAATAACTAGTGTACAAGAAAATTCAGTTTTGTCCCCGCTCTGTGAAATACGGGTATTTCTTGTGTTGCAATCATTATCGCGGGAAGGAAACATCCGTTTGCCTTGAAATTTTTAGGATAGTGTAAAGACATTGAGACCTATATACGAGAAGAATATCAGCTCGAATCTTCGTCATTCAATTTTTTACAGTAAATATCATGTATAACGCGAAAGTCAGTAAAATGGTCATAACTCTGGAAGGGAAGCAATATGAGTTCTTATCATTTTAGATGTAGTCTAGTCTTATATGGTCTTACTTATGGCCAAAATATCAGATCAAAATCTCTCAATCACTTCAAACGGTTCCCTCATTAGTGCGTTAAGAGATACAAATATCACTTCTTTCACTCTATAACTTTCAATGAATGGCTGCTGACTAAAATTCATTTTTATTTTCAGGGTGGAATGTCAATATGTTTTATATTAACAATTCTTCATTTAATAGGTATTATTGTACCAGTAATAACAGTGATTGCTGCAAATGCATCTGTTCGAATGCTTTTATATTGGTTATTTAATATAATATCCCCAAGTATCAATGCTCAAGTTATAGTTACATATATTTTAGCACAAAAAAGTGCATCTTGTAAGTCAGCTATTATTAATTTTAAAATGCCACGTTTTGAATCAATTGGGAATGATACAATTGCATGGAATTGTTTAATTCTTGTTTTACATATATCATTATTATTATTATTAATTATAATTATTGACACTGGTTTATTAAAATTTTCACTTTCATTTTTATATAAATCAAATTTTGATGAAAATACACTTGATGATGATGTTTTAGCTGAACGTTCTCGAATATTAGATTTGCAAACAAATATATTTGTTGATGATGAACATATTGATTATTTAACAGTTAATGATCTTGTAAAATATTATCCAAGACGTAAAATTTTAGCTGTGAATCATTTAACCTTTGGTGCAAAACGTGGTGAAGCATTTGGTTTACTTGGTTATAATGTACAGTATATAAAATACTTTAAAAAAAAAAACAATCTTTCTAATTAATTTAAATAGGGCGCTGGAAAAACTACAACATTTCGTGTTATAGTTGGTGATTTACTATCCACAAAAGGCACAGCTTATATAGATGGACAAAATGTTCGTCGGCGTATAAAGTCAAAACGTCATTTAGGTTATTGTCCACAAGAAAATTGTAGTATGGAGTTTTTAACTGTTCAAGATAGTCTTTATTTATTAGCACGTATACGTGGTGTAAAAATTGCACATATAAAAACGATTGCTGAAACGATGAGCTCACTATTTTTACTTGATCCATTTTTAAATAATTATATTAATCAATTAAGTGGTGGTACAAAACGTCGATTACATGCTGCAATGGCATTTATTGGTAAAATAGCTAAAAAAGAAATGATAAGATGAATTATTTTTTTGTTTTTTAAGGACCACCATTAGTTGCTATTCTTGATGAACCAACAATGGGTGTTGATCCAAATGCTCGACAACAAATGCAAAAAATATTTTTAAATGCTGTTAAAGCTAAATTAACAATTATTTTAACTAGTCATTCGATGGATGAATGGTAAGAAAAGAAAACAATCAATAAAATAAAAGCTGTTACTGCGATCTATGTGGAATTAAAATGTCAAACACGTTGAATCTATCTACACTGTAAACGAGGAAAATTATCAGTGTATATTTGAGTCGTGACTTACTACCTGTTGTTAATGTTGGTGATGAAAGACGTTAACGATACTATATTACCGTGAGTGTAAGAGAAATGCAAATGACGGGTAGCTTAAATTCAGTCGTGTTTCATACTGATCCTGCGGTAGAATTCAATGTCAGAGCTCGAAGCGAACCCAACTTTTTCGTTTCAGTTCGGTTGAGTTTTTTAAAAGTCTCTTCGGATTCCGTTCAGTTCGACTCAGTTTTCCCAAATGACAGTTCGAGTTCGAATCCGCTCAAACCAAACCTAGTCGCTTAAGTTTGGTTTCAGTTTGACTGGAGTCAACAAAACTAATTGAAGCAAGTTGTTATTAGCATTTTGGTGATTAATAATCACTTAATTTGAGTGCTCTTCAACTGATGACGCACTTAAAAAGAATGATAGCATATCGTTAAATATATAATATGATTTTCCAAAACTCAGAATTGCTATAGACCCAAACCGAATCTATATCATCCAGTTCGACTAAACTTTGAAAAAAATCATTTCGGTTCGATTCACGTCGTTGTCGGTCTCTGTTCACTGTGTCCCGAGTATGTAAATTATAGTCTATCAGTAAGAGAATGCTATATCAAATGTCTGTTACGAAAAGAAGGCATTGTTAAAAATGTCTGTTACGGTCTGTGAGAGAAGGGTGGAGTGGCAAATCTCTACTTTTATATATTTCAACAATCGTTTTAAGTAGTGTTTCATAAAATCAAAATTTTTATTTTAGTGAACGTGTTTGTAATCGTCTTGGTATCATGGTTAAAGGACAATTAGCTTGTTTAGGTACAATTCAACATTTAAAATCTAAATTTGGTCAAGGTTATACAATTGAAATAAAAGTTCGTTCGATATCTGATGATACAAATATTGCACCAATTCATAATGTTCAATCACTTTTATTATCACAAAAACAATATCATGTTGAAATAAAAGAAACAACAAATTCAACTGGTTTATTTCATATATCACAAACTACACCTGCTGAATTATTTCAATTAATTGAAGAAAATAAACAACAATTAAATATTGAAACATATACGATTTCACAAACAACGCTTGAGCAAATATTTTTATCATTTGGAAAAGATATTCATACTACTTAATTCTTTTCAAATAAGACTAATTCATAATCCACATAAGTATTCTATAAGTTTTTTGTGCTGAACAATTATATACTTCTGTTTCCCAAATAATCGAATGAATATTTGTACGTTGACGAGCTTGTTCTTCATATGCTTGCTTTAATAATAAACCCGCAATACCTAAACCAAGAGCATTTGGATTAACATATAGATCACTTAAAATTGATTGTCGACTGGAATAGGGCTTGTAAAAACAAGACCGACAGAGTGATGCAAAGCCAATTATCTTGTTGTCCTTTCGTGCTAACAGATAAACACTTTCATGTTCAAAATCTTTTAACACATTATGCCAAAGTTTAATGAGATCTTCATTATTGGGTTAAGTTACATGTGGCTTATCGGATGTATCACGATAAGGACGCATAAGTAAAACAACGTCGAATATATCTGAATCCATAGGCGGTGGAGCCATTAGGCTTAGGAAGGCTCAATATTTTTGAACATTTTACGGATGTCATTCTAAGTTTATGCGGATCTCCCAAAATGTTATCAACATAGTTTATTTTGTATATATCTTTGCATGCGCTAATGCTAAAATCTTGAATTTTTTTCAAAAGATATGTTGTCGGTGCTCTCTGCCATAACTGTATCAAAAAATCCTGTTGATTCCTACGACAGGTTTTTTAAAAAACTGAACAGAAAGATATATAAAAGGGTGTGGGATGGGTATGGGTGGGTGGGTGGGTGGATGTGGGTGGGGGGTACGGTGTAAG